AATTTGTTAATTAATACAACAAGATAGTAAAAAAAATTAAATAATATAATATGTTAATTAAAAAATATAATAATTATTTATATATCATAAATTTTGGATTTGTTAGAACAAATTTTAGAAAAAGATTTACATTAATTTATGATTTTAAATAACGGTTACATATACTACGAATCTATACTATATTATAAAACATTTGACAAAAATTCTTAAAAATCATTTTTATGCGTAAAGTACTGTTTATTAATGCATATTACTTAAAATTCAATATTGCAAGTATATATTGTGCGTAAGTACAACTTATTAAATCTTCATATATGAATTCGTATAACTAACTGTAGATAAACATCTCATTTTAAATATAAAAAATTTAAATTATAATTAGGATAATCATTGAGTTCTCACAGAATATTTAATTATTATCTTTATAAAATGTTATATTATTATAATAAAAAATAAATTAAAGAAATTATATAAAAAATGAGAACTTTTAAATAATTGATGATATTAACATTGATATATATATATATATATATATATATATATATATATATATAGGTGGAGGTTCAAACGAGAACCCCTGTGATTTACGAAAACGCGAGAACAACTCAATAACCATAAACTTTTTTAATTAATAAATTAACTTTTATTATATATAAATAATTTAATAAGGGNATAAAAATAGTTGATATGACTAACAATAATTCTAAATAATTAATAACTTTAATTAATATTAATCACTAGTTATTCATATTAGTAATAAACATTTAGTGTTATAATAGGAAAAAGTATCAAAAAACTATTAAAACGCTACTTGTGACATTCTGTCATTTCTGAGTTTCAGGTTAGCACCTTATTTTAGGTCATATAAATATATTTAGAATTATATTTTACTAGGATCTAGCTATGATGATTAGAGTTCATCTGGCTTAGTTTCCAAATTTAGTTCGGAAGATCACGCCTCGGCGGGTAACTGATGAAGTTAACTTGCGTAATGTCAAAAATTTTAGAAATACTTCATATAAAATAAAGTTGATATTATAAGCTTTTAAATTATAATGCAAAAGTCTCATTTAAATGTCCAAATGATTTTTTTCGAAAGGTGGAGTTTTGGGATTAACAGTGTCATTATTAGTAAATTATTTAGTGGGTTCTGAATCTAAATGGGCTTATTCTTATTTAAGAAAAATAAAATTTTTATTTGGGTTTGAGCCTTTAGAGGCCAACCCATTTCCTTGTTTAAAATTCCTCATATAAATACCCCATATCCTTTGAAAAACTCTCATTTCCATTATCATCAGCTTAAATTTGTTCATCTCTCTAATCTCTCTCTAAAACCAACCACCCTCCAGCCGATTTCATCTTCAAACGAATCTTTAGGAATTCTGTCGATCTTGAAGAACATTCAAGAATATAAGAAAAATGTATGATACTAGATATCTTACTTTTGTAAAATAATAAAAAGTTTTCATCCTCCTACTCCTACTACTTGATCTTTTAGTTAAATGTCTGGAGAATTAAAGGCGGAAGATTATTCATCAAAGACATGAAAATGTCTTCAAAAAGGATGATAATCTATGATCCATGTTCTTTGACCTTTAAGAAAGTAGGAGAAAACCCCATTGCATGCAAAGTCTGACCATGAAAAGATATGTTTTGAAGTATGGTAGAACCTTGCATGCATCTCAAATTCGCTTTGCTATCTTCAAGATTTAATGGAATCGGAAAATATTTTCTGGAAACTGAGTAAATATGTTTGTTTGAAAATAGAATTTAAATCTTTGGAAAATGATGAGTTTAGACCTCCTAAATGACTGTCACTCGAAGAGTGTACAATCTGTTTTGGGGGCTGTGTAACTCAAGGATGTAGGGTAATATTGAGCAACTTAAACCTACTAAAAAATTCTTGATATTTGGAATAGTCAGTTGATCTCATTATTTTGGATGATGTGAAAAGTTAGACATAAAATGACTTTTGGAAGGTTCATATTTATAGTGATTTGTGAAACCCAAAAATACCTGGAACAGAATTTATAATCAGTCCAAAAATCAGCTTTTGAGTAAAAGATTTCGATTTCTTTTAATATATAATTTTTGGGCTATTTTTAGAATAAATAATAAAACATCAACTTTAATTTATAAAAACCCGATGTCATTGCATGAGATGCAACTTAACTTTATCTTTGTCAAGAACCCATAAGTGATCTAAATTCTGGATGTTGGTCTGTTTAGGAAGGTAGGGCGGACGTTGAGAGCTTCAGACGTCATCTTCTTGGATATACTTCATCAAATCGGTGAGTTTCACGGCCCCCACTTTTTAATGCTTTTGTTATTTAACTGGGGGGAAAAGCATGAAATTGAGCAAACTATGCTGCTTATTTATTTAACCATTGGACTAAAGAACTGTTTAGTCAAGCTTTATTTGAAACCATCGGACTAAAGAACTGTTTAGTCAATTTTTGTTTGAAACTATCGGACTAAAGAACTGTTTAGTCAAATTTATTATGTCATGAAATATTGACTGTTTTTGCACTATGAGATAAATGCTAAATTGATGTGCTTGAGAGTATGTTTCCAAATAAAGTCCCCGTCCGTAAACGCTATTTGTTAACTCGGGCACGTCCCCGGACCGTGGTATTGTGGATAGCCGCTATTGTGTTGACAGTCTCACCCAGAAAGGGGAGCACATTACCTATGTTTTCTTGGTCTAATCATGTGAAATTTGGACCACCGCTGAATTAGTATTACTACGAACTGTGGGACCTAAATAAGTGTACGGGCTTCTTATGGTCGTTCGTAAAATAATGTGGCACATTGGTCAGGTAAGGCTCAGTAGCGTCCCAAATATAAACATCGCGGTAGATTTACATTTATTAAGTGCAAAAGTTTATGCATATGTTTGCTAGTAAATGATTTATGCATTGTAATATTTTGTGCATGTAAAAATCCGTGAGCTCACCAACTCCTTGTAGTTGATCTCGTTTTATGTTCCATGCTTTTCAGGTAATAAGTAAGAATTGAAGTATTTTGGGAGCATACTCGTGGCTAGACCGATTAAGTTCGCAACTGAAGTTTTTGTATAAGAAGTACTTTATCACATTTTGGCTATTGGTGTTAAACTCGTTTTATTTTGTAAAATTTGAAAAGTGTTATTTAATAACTGTTGCTGTGACTCGCTTACCTGTTACATCTCGTGATTCCGCTTTAGCGGGGTGTGACACTACTCCAACTAATATTTCAATAAACTAGCTTATATTCATCCAAACTATAATTCAAAAGATAAGGTAGTTTATGTTTGTCAAATAATAGCAGTTTAACCATTAATAAAAATGGTATTACATCAATGAAGTCATTATCCAATTAATACATGTAAAGCAGCAAACAAACTTCAACAAAAGATGTGTTGGAAACTTTAGAAATGACAAATGCATAGGGTTGAGGGAGGAGACCAACAAGGAAGTGATTGTTGCATTCCCCTGCATACATACATCAAAAATTCAAAACTAAAAGGCAGTGTAAGTAACGTCTGATTGCTATTTTAAAACTTAAAGGAAGAAAACACCACACATATTTAAGGATCATATATATAATTATCTTGCAAACATCAAATGGTCCATAACAAATAAATAAGTAAGTGGGTATTTTTTTTCTGATTATATAATAATTAAAACCAATAAAGAAATTTAAAAAACAAAAGTGTATCAACTAAATCCTTTTTATTACAATACTAGTTGTGTATCCGCACAATGCGACGGGATGTGAAATTTGAACTAATGTAAGCCAGTATACCCGTTACGGATAAACAAAAGCGTTATTTTTGGTGAAACATAAGATTTTCGAAATTGATTGCCATCGCAAAAAGTGTTTTTCTTTTTAGTTTAATGAACATAAGAGAATTTTTAATACATTAAATCAACTTATTATGTTTTGTCTAATCATTAAAATACTCAACTTTTATACATCAATATATTAATCACTTAGTTAAGTCTCTTAATTTCTAACGATATTTCTAATGTTTTTAAATTTTACATTCAATTTTCTAACTCCAACCCACAAGTAATTAACATGTTGGATGCCAATATTTCATCATATGGTTTAGTTTTTCACTCATGTGGGCATCTAACTTTGTGTTTCTAGTACCTAATGTTGGAAAAACAACCAGAGCTTTTGCTATTAATAGGTCTGTTTTCATAAGAAAATTAAGCTTGTGTTTGATAATTGAAGTCCAACTATTGTTTAAGACTTTGGAAGCATTATTTTGTAGTTGAGTCCTAATGCTTCTGTTTATTTTCTCTCTCGTTTTAAAATTTTGCTTAGTTGGTCTGATTCATCAAAATTTCTTGTATCTATTTATCTAATAAAAAGAACAATCTCCATGATCACCTTTCTATTTTCAGACACCGTCTATGTTGTCCCTTTGCTACTGTTCGAGCAATTTTTAACCAAATCCAACTATTTTATCATTCTCACTATATATCGTTCAATCTATTTAAAATATATATATATATATATATATATATAGATGGGTTGGCATGCTACAAGCGGATTGCTCAAAAAAGCCGATCATCAGTAAAATTGGTGGCACATCAAATTTAACTTTCAACTTAACCTCATCAATAAATGGTAAATGACATAAAAAAAAGGGGAAAACATAAAAGTTCAAAAAACTAGATGGACTTTCATCATTTGTGCTAGCCTTTAACCAAATCCATTCAAAAAATCAAAAATTATATAAAAAAGGGAAAACGTAAAGTTTGAAAAACTCAATGGACTTCAAATGAACAATGATGTTTATCAATTACCGTTTTTTCCTGGTGATGAGACAAAAAGAAACATAATTTTTATCAATACAATCTTGTTAAGCTTGCAAGGTATAGATAGGGAGCAAATATCATTCAAACAAGTCCCACAAACCATAGAGGTCCGGCCTTGCTTCATTTAGCTAACAACCTTTGATTTTTGCCCAAAACAACATGAATCATATCATTTTAAACTTTTAGGTTACTTGGTTGCTTTTTCTTCCAATAAATAAATGAATGTAAGAAACAGTGTCAGATTTAGATTACAATCCAATTGATGTGATGCAACATAAAAGGCACCTTTGAAAAGGAAACTTTGGATGGAAAGTTCAAACTTTTCACTTGGGCAAGCTGTTTCTTCCTTTGGACAGTCAGTCCAATGGTCAACTCATCATCTTACAAGGTGATGCCTTATCACACTCCGCTCTTTGTCCAATTCAAAGTTCCCTCGACCAAATTCCACGCTGCTAAAGAACGCCTTCAAATCTGTGATTCCATAATCCAGCACCTATGCATAAACACAAAACCATCACCGCCCGACCTCACATATTTTATAGATACAAGATATAAACCAAATTATTCATTAGATTACCTTGCTTTGCAATTCCTCCACCTTCACGTCAATATGAGTAACATCTTTGTTAGACCCAGATACGATCTCTTCAAAGTGTAGCGCCTCCTTCACAAGTTGATTCAGTAGATGCAATACAATTGCATTGAAATCCTTCTTGGATGTCATGTACTTTTTGAAACTTTGCATACCATCAACCTTAATTTGTCATCATCTATTATAAATGGGGTTATTTAGAAGAATATTTTTTTAAATGCATGACCTTCTCACGGATGTGCGAGTAAAATCTAAGTAGGGGTGCACAAAAAACCGTCAACCCGCGATACCCGCCCAACCCAATTAAACCCAACCCGCCTAACCGCCCACCCGTCAAACCACTAACCCACCAATTAGAAGGGTTGAAATTGGGATGGGCCTAGCTCAACCCACCCAAACCGCCGCTAATATATAATTTTTATAAAATTATATATATATATATATGTTTATTATGTATATCTATATATATATATATATTAATAATGTATAATTTTTATTGATATTATGTTTGTATTTCATTTTAGCTAAACGTATAGGTTACCAAAAGAGATTCACGATCAAAGAATGATGACAAATTAATCTAATTAATAAGAGAATTATTGAAATCTTTTTTGCAGCAACAAGAAGTTGATATGTCGGAGAATATGAATGATACTAATAGATATTTTGTTGACGAATCCATCAATCTAAATACCCCGTCATTTGATGTTGTACTTCAGTGGAAATAAAATGTTTAGTTATAACATTTCGCTACAACAACATTAGATCTTATAGGATGCCTAAAATGTCCAAGCGTCCTAATATGATTCTTTATAGGACGAAACAAGAAAAATGTCATATCTAAAAGAGTTACAATATGTTTATAGGATGATTTTGGACGTCCTAACAAATTCTATGACGTTTTTAAAATAAAATATCATATTAGTTATTTTATACGAGTCGACTTGAAATATGTATATGAACATAGGTGTCCTATAAATAGATAAGTTTTAGGGACACTTCTCAAAATATTTATATAAAATAACTAATACGACATTTTATTTAAAGATCATYCTAAAACACTTGTTGAAGCGTCCAAAAATGTCATGTAAACCTACTGTAACCTTTTTAGATAGGACGATTTATAGTATGGTCTATAAACTTAAGTTTTATGAATTATTTCATTCGTCAAATTTATGTAACTACTAACCCGCCAACCCAACCCAACCCGCCCCGCCTCAACCCGCAAGAATTGGGTTGGGTTGGGTTATACTTTTGAATGGGCTGGGTTGAGATTTTTTCAAACCGCCACAATTTGGTGGTTGGGTTGGGTTTGTAAACCGCCCGACCCAACCCGTCATGCACCCCTAAATCTAAGGATAAAGCACCAAGCAATAAACTTGATACCATATATGCTTCAAATAAGCAGTTGGCTTAGGATGATGTTAAACTCAAGATACCAAGGAGGAAAGTTCAGGTACCTTCTGTAGAGCCTTCTGCACTCCAAACTTCTGAGTAGAAATAAAGGAGTCAAGCAACACACGAATTGCCATGTCCACATCTTCCAGATGCATTCTAGCATGAGCTTCTGACTTCTGTATCATTGATTCTATGTGCCTTACTGCTATTGAAACTCCTTGCCCATTCTCTGAAAAAAAAAAACATAAAAATAATTCTCAACTTGATTTGCTTCTTCCCCCTTTTTCTTAGCCAGCTCTTTCTCAACATATCTTAACCTGCTTGATAGCAAAAAGATTAGTAAGGTTTTATTTTGTATATACTACCCAGCAAGGTAATTCTACCACAAATGTACAGAAAAAATCGAAATCAATATATCATATAGATTCAGAATACAGAATCAACTACAACAAATCA